ATGTTCTCGAAGTTGGCTTAAGTCAGATAAATCCAATGAAATCACCGTACCCAGGGTTTCTGTACTTATTGCTCTCATATCTTCTGTGGAGGCTTGCAGGCTCTGGTTTCGAGATTGCTCTCAGAAGAGAGCATTCTCGTCCCCAGAGCCTTTCTTACGGAGCGCGACGAGGGGCTCTGGCCAAATCCACATCAAACTGGCATCTGATTGGCCACAACGAAGGTTATTGTTCTAATACCGGATATTGTTCTAATACCATGTTTTTTATGGTTTCCGGTTTGGATTTGGCCAGAGCCCCTCGTCGCACTCTGTTGACCGCGCGTAAGAACGGTTCTGGGTACGAGAATGAAGAGAGAGCAACGAGCGCAGAAGCCCTGGGTACGAGGTTGATGATATATGGTAAGTTATTCTAATCAAGACGTGCCTTATTTTAATACCCCAGCGACTAAACGCTCAACAGAGCGTCTTGTTACAGTAAAAAATACAAGATCATTCAATTTTGTCACAAATTATCAAATAAAAACACATTTTATCACGGTACAATAGAACTAAGTACAGAAAATCAGTCGGAACAAATTGAAATTACAGGAGCGGAAGTGAGATATGGTTCTTGTATTCTGACTGTAATGATAAATGCTTGGGTATCACTGTGGGTTGCGGACATACAAATAATATATAGAATTAACATGATCATTTCCTTACTTTAATAACAGGCAGTTTACCACCATTTGCTGCACAGAGTGCTCAGTGAAACCCACCTGATCACTAGAAACATTGCTATTAAAAGCCAATTATGCAGTGCTTATTAGTGTATTTATTATTAGCATGACAAAATTACTGGATGCTGATTGGTTGAGAGGAGTACAATTATTTCATTAATTGTACTGCAGTACAATAATGATTTTCCCAAAACAAACAAAATGGAGGAAAGGTATTTTAAACACAAATGCGAAATGAAATTGCACAAGAGGAACTACATGAAAATACGAACAAAAGCACAAAATTTTGCTTTAACAAAAGAACTAAATGAAAATACGAACAAAAGCACCAAATTTTGGTTGAAAGTCTTGCAGGACTGGGCTTTGGCGAGAGAATATAATGTTGACATTGAGAAGTATCCAATTTTGTCATGCTAATAATAAACAGGTAATCATGCAATGTTGCTCGTACAATTAGGGATTAATAGTACTTGTGATGTTTGGAAATTTGCCAAATTGGACTCGCCCCAACAGCTCGTCCAATTTTGGGAAAATTTCCAAACATCACTCATACTATTAATCCCTAATTGTACTTGCCATCGCATGGTTACCTATACTAGTACAGGTCTAAAAACACTATGGTTAAACTTTTATCCAATCACAATGCTCGACATTTTTTTAATTAGATTAACAAGCTTGCGAGTTGGTTTTGCAACGAGTGGAAGAGACTGATTTATCTCACATCCTACCATTGTCTGGTTTATATAACCAGCAATCTGGTTATATTTGACCAGCTGGATGTCCTTGTTAAAATTAACCACATAAAATATTTCCATCTAACATACTCTAGTTATTTTAACCAGCAAGTTCTAATCAAATTAACTCGCTAGGTTAAAATAACCAGGAATATTAAGTTATAAATTGGCCAAAGTTTGGGTTATTTCCAGGTTAATCAGTAAATTTTTAACCAGAGTGTTTTTAGGGACTATTCATTATTTATGACCGGGCGTGGGCTGGCAAAATTCAATAACAACTAAACAAAATGTCCTGCCCCACTCCCTACATCACAAAAAAATTCAATGACCCCCTTCACATAAATTCTAAAAAATAGTAACACTTCTAACCACCACCGACAATATAATAAATGCATGTACAGTACTGTATAGATATGAGCTCTTTAAACTTGTTGTAAAATGCATCAGATCTTTCATTTACTTGTGCTTTCAACAATTAATATACAAGCCTATTTAACCCATTAAGCTGCAGAGTTTCCTGTTGACGAGTAAAATCGTCTGGCGTTAAACAAGTAAAAAAATAAGTACTGCGGTGCAATGGGTTAACTAGAGACATTGTCAGATTAGTTGGTTAACCCATTAAGCTGCAGAGCGCCGTAGAGGCTAAAGCTGGGGGTAATAAAAAGTTGTTCAAAAAGGAAAAAGTTGCTTGAAGTTGCTCAAGCCGAAAAAAGTAGCTCCAAACGAAAAAAGTTGCTCCAAACGCAAAAAGTTGCTCAAATGACTCAAAAGTTGCCGAGCACAATCGGGACATGCCTAGCAGAGCTTCCTCGTTGACGAGTAAAATCGGTTAGGAGTATAGGGTTAGGAGTAAGGTTAGGGTTACAGTGCTGTAGGAAGCTCTTTTTGATTGGGGAGCTGAAAGCGAGGGCCAAAGGCCCGAGGAAATTTTTAAATTTAGAGTCGCTGAAATGCCATTTCCTGGACTTTGGAGATGATTTGACAGAATTCTGATGGTCAGAAAACAGCATTTTAGTATGTCGAAATTTACAATTTAGTAGCACTAAATGGGTGAAGGCGTATTTAATTAACTATATACTGGATAAGTTGCAGGAAAGTATGAGAAATATCTTCATTCTTTGCAGTTTGTCATGGATAATGTAGCCACTTAAAATTAATCAATTGTCAATATTTTAAAGGTATATTATATATATGATAAAGGTCTGCATGATTTTGGAAAAAGAATGATTATTAGCAAATTATATAATATATGCCAAACTTTCCCTCGACGTAATGTTGCTACATCGCTTACTCGTTAATTATCTTTTTTTATTAAAATGTACGTATATAATTGAAATATGACAAAAAGTTATGGCAAGTTCATGGCAAGGTGGATGTTCGATTATTTTCATATTAGCTGCGCGCATTGCATTTTGGGTATTTGTGCATTGCATTTTGGGTTTATCTGTTGATTAAAATTGAGAATTTTGCTAGCTATACATGAATTAAATTTGCTGCCTTGGTTGCTCGCTCCCTGTGGTAGCAATAATTGATACATGTAAATTTTTTCTCCACTATAATAAATAACTGTTCCCCTCCCGTCTGAACCAATATTTTTAGGTGCCCCCCCTTTTTCAGTCAAAAATACCTCATGACCCACCCCCTTTTTTTGCCAGCCCACCCCAGTCATAAATAATGAATGGTCCCTTAAGGCCCGGTCACACTACACAACGATAACGATACGATAAATTGTAAACACGCGATAATTGGCAAAAAAATGTGTTAGTGTCCAATACTACAACGAAAATAATAAAATTATCGTTTGACGATAACGATTTTAAAATCGCTCACCCGAGAGATTTTTTTCAGTCGGACGATAACGATAAATTTTTGACCAATCAGCGTGCGTATACAAGTTATCGTATCGTTATCGTTGTGTAGTGTGACCTGGGCTTTAGAGTGTATAATATTAAATGAATTTTACTTTTAGTCTTTTTGGCGTTGTATGCAGCAATACGTTCTTCCTTCACCTTTTCAGCAGCTGCCTAGAATCATGTGCAAAGATCAAAGCTAGCTTCCATTAATGTAGGTACTATGTATATGATGCTGTATATGTAAACGGAGTTAGTATAATACAACATGCATAAGTTAGGAAGCCAGCAATGCTACCTCCATGGAATATATTCAAGCCTTAAGAGGATAACTCCAAGACTTAATTAAATTAAGAATTCAGGAGTTATTATAGGCCAACCACAACAATCATGTGAAGGTAGTGAAGCTACCTCTGTAAACTTATCTAGAGTAACTGGCTAACAACTCCAGGATATATATATATATACATATATATATATATATAGACTATAACCTGGAAATTTACCTCGACTGATACTGGAAATTTCTCATACCGAACATTCCTAAAGGGGAGGGGGTTTGAGAAAACGTTCCTTGGAAAACGTTTGAAGTTTACGATAGTTCATGTCAGTATCTGTTCCAAGCTCGTTCGAAATTTTTCAAACACACTTGGCTTTATGAGTTTTTGCCGCTATGCTTCTTTACTTATTTAAACTATGACATTTTCATTCAGCCAGGTACACCATCAAATTGATCAAAATATCAAATGTATAATAATAAGGCATAGTACAAAACATGGACTGGACTGGACTGTTGGACTGGACTGGACAGTTGGACTGGACTGATTTTTACATTTTCTCTATTCTTGACTTGCATGTCACCCACCATGTCAGGTGGCATGCTACCTCCTCCGCAGGCGCTTAGGGAGCATTTCGGGCAGGTTCGGAAAATGCGGGTCACAGGCGAGAGCGCCTGCCGAGTAATGTTTTCAAGATGGCGGGTGCTATAAATCGAAATTTTCATTTTGACTTTACTAATTACTATTATGACTTAATATACAACATACATACCAGCACTGATTTAATAGATCTAAATAATATTTAGAAATAGCATCCAGTGGTCTTGGTAGACTAAAAAGTACTTATAACTAGCCACCGCTTTTCGATGCCGATGGAGACTGTTTTATAAAGTGTTTATACAATGCAAATACAACAATAACAACATCAACGATATTACATGCATCTACATATTTTGCTACTAAGCCTATGATAAGCCATTTCAAATACTTTAGATATGATTCAAACATCAGTCTGCATGAAACAGTAAAAGCACAATTTGAAAGATGGATATGGTGAAAAACTGAAAATATATTTGCATATTAAAAAATAGTAAAATACATTCACAATGTATTAAAATAGAAGTAATATAGCGTCTCATTGTTCGCTTGTTCTTTGTCTTTTGAGTAATAATAACACAATGTCTGCATGTAGAACTCCATTACCACAAAAATCTACATACCAAGTCCATTTCAAAAGACGATATATTGAGAGTATCGACATCGCTGCCGTCGAACGACCAGCATAACTTATGTCAATATGTCATATGCCCAAAAATACTGTTTCATGTTTCATGTTTCAGCGGATCAAATTTCTTCAGAATGTAATTCGAAACAAATCAGAAGGCCCAGAAGATAAAAGACGTCATGTCGCGGATGGTGGGATGTGGATGAACAGCAGATCTTGGTGCACTTTAAACTTAAATAATATTTCTCTGTATTTTCTGCGTTCTCGTATAAATATGACGCCGGTCGTATATCGATTTCTTTCTTTATTTGCCGTATTTCCATTTGATATTTTTGTCAGCGAGTCCAGAATTAATCCAGCTTACGTGAGAAATTAATTTGAACTAATGATGGACGAAATTTCAAAGAGATTTTTTTGGATTCCCGATTCCTCTGTATTTTCTGCATTCTCGTCCAAATATGACGCCGGTCGTATATCGATTTCTTTCTTTATTTGCCGTATTTCCATTTGATTTTTTGTCAGCAAGTCCAGAATTAACCCAGCTTACGTGATAAATTAATTTGAACTAATGATGGACGAAATTTCAAAGAGATTTTTTTGGATTCCCGATTTTCGACATATATTCCCGATTTTCGACACATTATATGGCAGGCCCTTCGCGCTTCGCTTCAGGTTCTAAAAGTGGCCCGCAAAAATTTGCACCGCCCGCAAATGTGCCCGGAAAAAGGGCCTGCGGAGGAGGTAGGGTGGCATGGCACAAAAGAATATTTTATCACAGAATAGATGTATTTTGTGATTTTATCAATGAACATTGTCTGGTGCGTCAGTGGCGTAACGTTATATCAGGGGGCCCCCGGTTCAAAATTTTCGAAGGCCCCCTAGTAGAAGTACCAAAGGCACGAGTCGAGCGCCATATATACACAAGTTTTCTAGGGGTCCAGAGCATGCTCATCCGGAAAATTTTTGAATGTAGACTCTCTGAAATGCCATTTCCTGGACTTTGGGGAGAGATTTTACAGAATTCTGATGGTCATAAAACGACATTGTAACATATCAGAGGCCCTGGCCAATGTTTTTGCTCTATCGCCTAAGTCTGGGGGCCCCCATTTGGGTTGGGGGCCCCCGGGTTCTCCCGGTCTGAGCCACTGTGGTGTGTACCAGGCGGAGATTGGTTGCAAGTCAAGAATATAATGTTTTGCACCTGAATTACTTTTGATTTTCGGAAATTGAAATACTTTACCTTCGCCGATGACCTCACTTTATAACTGGAGTGAAATCTCTTAAAGCGAAAGAAACCCCAGTAAGGGACCGACCATTTAACTTTTGAGGGGGGAGGAGGTGGGAGATTTACTGCTGGAAGGGAATTTTGTTTCTTGATATGGGATCGTTATGTGCAAGATTTTTTTCCCCTATCCCATCACCATGTACGATATTTTTTTTGCCACTCTCTTTCGCAGCATTTTTTTTCAATAGCTTATACTATTTAGATTCTTTAATTAATAATAGTTAACGT